TCTACTAAAAAATACAAAAAAGGCTGGGCGTAAAAAAAAAAAAAAACAATCCCAGCACTTTGGGAGGGCGAGGCGGGCGGTTCACCTGAGGTAAAAAAAAAAAAAACAGCCTGACCAAATGTAGAAACCCCGTCTCTACTAAAAATACACAATAAAAAAAAAAAAAAGGCGCACGCCTGTAATCCCAGCTACTTGGGAGGCTGAGGCACGAGAACTGCTTGAACCCAGGAGGTGGAGGTTGCAGTGAGCCGAGATCACATCACTGAACTCTACCCAAAAAAAAAAAAAAAGACTCAAAAAGAAAGATAAAGTGGATGGAGATAATGATAGTACTTCAAAAAAAAAAAAAAGAGAATGAAATACCATAATCCAGGAAATGTGTTTAGAGCACAAATGTAAAAAAAAAAAAAATTAGTAGCTACCCAGAGTAAGCAGCCATAGCCTGGGGTTTCTTCTGGAAAAAAAAAAAAAAGAAGAGGAGGTCTCCTTTGTTAACTCTGACTCCCCTGAGATCTTAGCAAAAAAAAAAAAAACAGTTTCATTGATACTTCCTTTCTGTGCTGTCTTGTTCTGTGAGGTGGTCCCTGTCATCTCTCCAGGCCCATTTCCTGCTACCCTGGGCCCCACACATCACTTGCAGTTAGCTAAGCACCCCTTACTCTCTGACATCTCTGTGCCTTTGCATATATCTGTTTGGAATGTAAAAAAAAAAAAAAGCCTAGCAAAACCCTATTTGTTCTCTTTAGCTCAAACCAGTCACCACTTGGGTGAAGCATTTTTCCCACCTTGAGGCAGATTTAATCTGTCCTGTTGCCTGTTGTCTGAAAAAAAAAAAAAACTCAGATCACTCTGCATTACAATTACTTATGTGTCTTCCTCTGCCACAAAAAAAAAAAAAAATGAGAGTAAGAAATGTATCTTATTTATTCTGTGCCCCCTACCCCAGAAAAAAAAAAAAAAGTTGGTACAAGTGGAGGTTGAGAGATGTTGAGTGATAGAATGAATTAAAAAAAAAAAAAAAGGTGTTGGCTTTTTGCCAGCATCACGGGTTCTAGGATATTTGAATGCAAAAAAAAAAAAAAGGGGTTAATGCAGGGCACAGCATGCGTCAGCTGTCTTACTGCTTAATAAAAAAAAAAAAAATTGGCTAATGAAGATAGAGATAATGATGGCAATAAAATGGTTCTCTAGGCTGACCCAGAGCCACAGCCACTCTCCTGCTTTCCAGTGAGTCATCCCTGGCTGGGCCTGAGGACAGGAATCATGGCTGAGAGGTAGATGATCAGTCAACAGTGGCTGAACTGGCTCCAGAAAAAAAAAAAAAAACCATGACTCATTCCAGCTTGTGCTGCTGACAAGAACCCTCCAGAATTACACAGGTTTGAGTACAAGTCTCAGCACAGGCCAGGTGCGGTGGCTCACGCCTGTAATCCCAAAAAAAAAAAAAAGGGTGGATCACTGAGGTCAGGAGTTTGAGACCAGCCTAGCCAACATGAAAAAAAAAAAAAACTACTGAAAATACAAAAATTAGCCAGCTTGGTGGTGGGCGCCTGTAATCCCAGCTACTCGGGAGGCTGAGGCAGGAGAACCGCTTGAACCCGGGAGGTGGAGGTTGCAGTGAGCGGAGATCGCACCACTGCACTCCAGCCTGGGCAACAAGAGCGAAACTCCGTCTGAAAAAAAAAAAAAAAACAGCACAGACAGTGATCAGCCCAGACCTTAAGTTACATACCCATCTGAAAAAAAAAAAAAATCTTCCCTCATTAGCAATGAGATATAGATCCCAACCCAGGATGCTGAAAAAAAAAAAAAAATTCCCCACTTTTGGAAAGCCTACAGTCTCATGGAGAAAGCACAATTCAAAAAAAAAAAAAATACCATAATTATCTCTTTAGTTTTGCCGTATTTGTCTTTATGTTCCTAAAAAAAAAAAAAAAAGTAGGGCACGGGGAATGACTCAAGAAATGCAGGCAAGAAACAGAAGTGTAGCTCCCAAACCATGTGGACTGGTAGGGAAGAAATTTGAAAAGGATCAAGATAGAGATTTTTCTTGTTGTTTTTTTTATTTGTTTTGAGACAGGGTCTTGCTCTGTTGCCCAGGCTGCAAAAAAAAAAAAAAACCATGCTCACTGCAGCCTCCAACTCCCAGCTCAAGTAATCCTCCCAAAAAAAAAAAAAAAGTGGCCAGGACTACAGGCATGAGCCACCATACCTAGCTTATTTTATTAAAAAAAAAAAAAAGAGACGGAGTCTTACTCTGTTACCCAGCCTGGAGTGCAGTGGTGCAAAAAAAAAAAAAAAAAACCTCTGCTGCCCCAGTTCAAGCAGTTTCCCTGCCGCAGCCTCTGGAGTAGCTGGGATTACAGACATCTGCCACCACACCTGGCTAATTTTTGTAGTTTTAGTAGAGACGGGGTTTCACCATCTTGGCCAGGCTGGTCTTGAACCCCTGACCTTGTGATCCCCTCAGCAAAAAAAAAAAAAATTTTTGAGATAGAGTCTCACTCTGTCGCCCAGGCTGGAGTGCAGTGGAAAAAAAAAAAAAAACTGCAACCTCTGCCTCCCAGGTTCAACTGATTCTCCTGTCTCAGCCAAAAAAAAAAAAAAAATTACAGGCGAGTGTTGCCATGCCTAGCTAATTTTTGTATTTTTAGAAAAAAAAAAAAAACACCATTGTTGGCCAGACTGGTCTTGAGCTCCCAACCTCAGGTGATCAAAAAAAAAAAAAATCCAAAAGTGCTGGGATTATAGGTGTGAGCCACCGTGCCTGGCCCCTAAAAAAAAAAAAAATTTTTTGTAGAGACAGGAATCTCACTACATTGCCCAGGCTGATCTTGAAAAAAAAAAAAAAAGCGATCCTATCACCTCAGCCTCCCAAAGTGCTGTGATTACAGGCATAAAAAAAAAAAAAAGCCTGGCAAGGTAGACTTAATAAGGAAAGCTATTTGGATGACGGAAAAAAAAAAAAAAAAAGAGGAAAAAAGCCTAGGGTGGGGCATGGCAGGGAATGCTTCCTAATGGTTGTTCAGGGCTAGAGAAGGGGAAGGGTAAGAGGTGGGAAGATCCAGCTTTTTTCAGAGGAAAAAAAAAAAAAAGAGGTGTGGCAGTTAATTAATAGAGGCAGAAACTGGCAGGGCATAAAAAAAAAAAAAAAAACCTAAATCCCTGAATCTTCTGGATTTGGGTCCTATGGGGGAAACAGGAAAAAAAAAAAAAAAAGAGTGGTTTCATGCGTCTCCAAGGTTACACAGGGTGATGTGTGCCAAAAAAAAAAAAAAGGCAGGTAGAGAGAGGCCCGGGAGCCTGAGGTCTGAGTTTGGGGCATCTGGTGGGAGGTGGGGGGATGCAGGACTTGTTCTGGGCCCTGAAGGATGCCTTTATTGGGGAAAAAAAAAAAAAACAGCTGGGGACAGTTGTTGAGCTGAGAGGAGGATGGACATTGAAGTCACCACGGGGAAAGAGGATGAATGGTTAGTTGGGGTCCCAAATGCCAGGCAGAGCAGTTGGCCTGGGCTCACAGGCTCTGAGAGGACCCTGAAGATGTGCAGACACAGGTCTGCCTACTTAGGAAAAAAAAAAAAAATTTCCTGTGACACGGGGAAGATGAACACACTCTAGATGGGGGTGTCTAAAAAAAAAAAAAACCACCCTCAGGTGCAAGGGTGCGTACTTGTGCTGTGTGACTGTGTCAGGGTCTGCAGTACGTTGCTGAGTGACTGTATCTGGGCAGTGCTTTTCTGGGCTGTAAGTGGGTGGTTGGAGAGTCTGTTTTCTGGGTCCGTGTAGGCGTGCCTGAGTTGTACATCTTAGTGTAAAAAAAAAAAAAAGGGGTCCAAGTTGTGTTGTTTATATTTGTGTGAGATCTCAGCTGTGTAAAAAAAAAAAAAAGGTGTCTGACTTGTGAGTGAGAGGCTGGGCAAGGGACAGGGTTCCCCAAAAAAAAAAAAAAGGGTCACCATAATGGGTACGAGGCCAATCAGCTGTCGTCCTAACCTGAAAAAAAAAAAAAAAGGCCTGAATGATGACACCTAGACTCTTATCCCCAAGTGAATGGCCTAAAAAAAAAAAAAAATTAACTGGGCACCTGTGAGAAGAATCCAAACTGTTATGGTGAAGGGAAAAAAAAAAAAAAAGGGCAGGACTTACCGCTGGCGAAAGGGGGAGGCCAGAAAATCCTATAAAAAAAAAAAAAATTATCACTCCTTCCTGCCCACCCTTCAGGTCACTCACCCTTACCCATAAAAAAAAAAAAAAAATATTTAACAAACAGTGAGGCACAGACATTGACCAATCAGAATAGACACAAGTCATATTCTGAATGGAGCAGTCAGGGAGGTCATGGCTATGCCAAGAGTTGCCTCTAAAAAAAAAAAAAAGTGGGAATGTCTGGGAGGAGAATCCCAGGAGAGGGGCTGGGGCAGAGGGGCAGGGAAGGAAAGTTGGGAGGCCTCAGGGCAGTGGCTATGATCCAAGTGTCATGGAAGGGTTTCAGACTTAAACAACTGATGTAGTCAAATCCTGGTGGTCCAGCTAAACCTTGCTCTGCCTTGGCGTTCAAGTAGTTGCCAGGCCAGCCCTGGGTGCCCTTGTCCCTTCCCTTTGGGAAAAAAAAAAAAAAAAGTCTTTTGTCATCTGCAGGAATGGGGGAAGTGAATGATCTTAAACTGAAAAAAAAAAAAAAACCTTGTCTGTTTCAATTCGGGAATGGACTGCTTCCTGATTGGCTGTGATTGGGCTTTAACTGTGGTGAGAGGGCGCATGAAGTGGGTAGGAGCCAGGAGAGTGGTTAGTGAAGGGTGTGGGAACAGGAGAGCAACCTCCTTCCCCTGAGGATAAAGGCAATGAGGTGAAAAAAAAAAAAAAAGATACTGTTCCCTGGAAAATTAGTTCCAGCAACCCTGTGGATTTTTTAAAAAAAAAAAAAACTGATAGGAGCAGGGTGGGCCCTGGAGGTGAGACAGTCCGTTCTATAAAAAAAAAAAAAAATATCAGGCTCCAAGTGTTTCATATCTTTTATTACAAAAATCAATAACAAAAAAAAAAAAAATATAAAGTCAGTAGGACTTCTGGTCCAATGAGCAGCCTAAGCTTTCATTCCCATCCCAACAAGGGACAGAAGTCTTGGCCCAGAGGCTGTGGGGACCACCAAGAGCCTTCCAGGCAGCAGGAGCACTGTGTCCAAACCAAGGAAGTCCAATGTGGGGTGTGGCTGAGTGAAAAAAAAAAAAAAAGGAGCCAAGTGCTGTCTATACAGCCTTGCCCCCTCCGGGAGCATTGGGTCACCTCTGGGGATGGCCAGGCTGAATCAGCACTGCCAGCCTCTGCCCACCTGATCTCTGCCTGGGCTGCAGCTGGTCACCTCAGCAAGAGCATGTCCCCAAGAAGGCCAGCGATGTCAAAAAAAAAAAAAAAAGGGCGAAAAAAGAGGTCCCCAAGCAGGCTGGTCGGAATGGACTTGAGAAAAAAAAAAAAAAAGAGGACACGGGCCAGGCGGCCTTGGGCTGCTGGGCACCAGGGCTCCAGGACTTCACACAGCGCCCAGTGAGCCTCCTGCTGCAGGTGCCCAATGTGGGAGGCGGCTTAAAAAAAAAAAAAATCTGTGGGCAGAGAGGGAGAAGAGGGTTGGTGAGCATCCTACTCCCAGCCACCAAAGGAAGAGACTGGCCCAAGATCTGGGCCATCAGAGACACCCCTCTGCCTCCTTAAAAAAAAAAAAAAGGTCCCACTACTACCTCCTCCTTTGGAGGAGGTAATTTATTTATCAAAAAAAAAAAAAAAAATCCATCCATTTATGAAGAGGCAGTATGGAGTAATGGTTAAGAATCAAAAAAAAAAAAAAAGAATCCCAGTACTGTCACTTAGCTGGGTGACCTTGGGCAAGTAACTTAAAAAAAAAAAAAAAGTTTCTTTATTTGTAAAACGAGGATAATAATATTAATAGGACCTGTAAAAAAAAAAAAAATGAGATTTAAATGAACTAGTATATGTAAAACCCTTAGAATAGGGCCTAAAAAAAAAAAAAAGTGATATGAGTATTTGCTACTATTATTGCAATTAACTACTATGATTTAAAAAAAAAAAAAAGACTCCTGGGGAACGCTTATCTCAGATGCTCTCCAGATTACAAAGAGAAAAAAAAAAAAAACCGCTCTCCTGGCCGAATTCCACAAAGACTCCCTTCCTGTCCTCCCTAAAAAAAAAAAAAATCTCTCTTCTAAGTGATCTTTCTGAACCCACAGAGGAGTTTCAGCTCTAGAGCTTCACCATGCAGCCTTCCTTTGAAGATGTGACTGAGACACAGCTGTGTCTGCCCAAAAAAAAAAAAAAACAGCCTTCTCTAAAGGTCAGAGCAAATTTCTCAGGCAGAGTGGCAAGAAAAAAAAAAAAAAGTGAATAGATCTGAGGGACAGATCCTGGTCTGTCCCTACCTGGCTGTAAAAAAAAAAAAAAGTCACTTAGCTTCTCTGTACCTCTTCTGTGAGATGGCTATTTGATGAAAATGAGGAACCGGCCAAGCACAGTGGCTCACGCCTGTAATCCAGCACTTTGGGAGGCCAAGGTGGGTGGATCACGAGAGGGATCAGGAGTTCAAGACCAGCTTGACCAACATGGCGAAACCCCGTCTCTACTAAAAAATACAAAAATTAGCCGGGAGTGGTGGCGGGCACCTGTAATCCCAGAAAAAAAAAAAAAAGAGGCAGGGAAAATTGCTTGAACCCAGGAGGCAGAGGTTGCAGTGAGAAAAAAAAAAAAAACTGCGCTCCAGACTAGGTGACAGAGTGAGACTCTGTCTCAAAAAAAAAAAAAAAAAAAAAATGTGGACCCCATGAGATAACAGATATCAAACCCTTAGAAGTTACCTTAAAAAAAAAAAAAATGCTTCAGCCTTGCCCCCCACCCAGGAGTGTCTGGGAGCTCACCAGGGTTGAAGAGGATGGTCCCTTTCAGGCAGGCATATTCCTTGGGGCTCAGCTCCAGGCCCCAGAAGGACTCCAGACAGCACTGAAGCCACTGCACTGCAGCCAGGGAGGGCTGGGGTCTGTCTGGCGGCTGGCCACTGCCTCCACTGCTGCTGGGCTCCTCCAGTAGAATCTTCTTGAGTATGCTAAAAAAAAAAAAAACAGCCACTTCAAAGGTCACAGCATCTTGGGCCAACCCAAGCAGAAAGAAAAAAAAAAAAAAACCCTGCAGCAGCCGCCGCTGGTCCTGGGGAGGCAGCTGCCAGAAGGAAAAAAAAAAAAAAAGGAAGGCCACTGTCTTGGCCAGAACATCCAAGGCCTCCCGGCAGGTAAAAAAAAAAAAAAATAGCTGGACGGGCCGGTGCTGCCTACATAGGCAGCGGCTACGGGGTAAAAAAAAAAAAAAGAGGCTGGAGCTCAGAAGTGCGTAGAGAATGGCTGGGCGGCTTGCAGCTCCCTGGCATGGGCAGGCCCCTGGTTGGCTGGTGCTCATGGTTGGGATCTGCCCTTACTTAAAAAAAAAAAAAACTCTGTTCTGCGCCGTGGGTGCTATTTATATTCCCAGTGAGTCGAAGAAAAAAAAAAAAAAGACAACCTTGACTCCAGAAGTCATGTTCATTGAAAAAAACACACAGAAAAAAAAAAAAAAAGGAATGGTGGGGAAGTGGTGGGGGAGGGGGCATTGGGAACCCCACGTGGCACTGATATCACTTCAGTCAATGAAGTGGCCGGTGCAGGGCACAGGGCCACCTGCCGCTAAAAAAAAAAAAAATTATCGGATGACTCAAGTGGATAAACAAGGTCATTAACCCAGGCTGTAAAAAAAAAAAAAAGCCCCAGGTGCACAATCAGCAGGTGTCCCCATTGGTGCCTGCTCTTGAAAAAAAAAAAAAATAGCGCTTTTGCTAAGCCAGGAAGTCAGCCCCAGAGCTGGGTGGGCCAAAAAAAAAAAAAACGACCTGGAAGTGCCTTATCACTAGCTTGTTTGCCTAACCTTGGGGCAAAAAAAAAAAAAACGGCCAGGAGCAGGCTACAGGGAAGGGAGCCAGGACCCTGGGGGGGCTGGGAGGACTTTGCCCGCTGTCCAGTCTCGGAGGCCCCCTTCCTCTGGTTTCAGTTCTGGGCCCCCTGCAGGAATAAGGTCCTTCAGAATCCCTATCCCCTGCCTGATTCCTACCACTCCTGAAAGTCCAGTTCTGCTGAGAAGAACTCACAGAGTTATAATAAAAGATAGTTGCCAGCTGGGCATGGTGGCTCATGCCTGTAATCCCAGCACTTTGGGAGGCCGAGGAAGGGGGATCATTTGAGGTCAGGAGTTCAAGACCAGCCTGGCCAACATGGCAAAATCCTGTCTCTACTAAAAATACAAAAATTAGCCGGGCATGGTGGCATGTGCCTGTAGTCCCAGCTACCCTAGAGGCTGAGGCAAAAAAAAAAAAAAAAACTGGGAGGCAGAGGTTGCAGTGAGCTGAGATCATGCCACTGTACTCAAAAAAAAAAAAAAGAGCAAGACCCTGTCTCAAAAAAAAATATGTGTGTGTGTGTGTGTGTAAAAAAAAAAAAAATTGCCATTCTCTGAGCACCTGTTATGTGTCAGGCACTTCCCACTCTAAAAAAAAAAAAAAACTTCTAAGGCTAGATTCTTACTTTGTGAGACTAAAAAAGTTAAAGTGACTTGCCCAAGGTCATCCCACCAGGAAGACCAAGCCCAGATCTTGCCTGACTCCAAAGTCCTTGTTTGTTCCCCTGGACCCATTGGCCCAATTGCACAGCCAGAGCCTGAGATTCTCTGAGCAAAAAAAAAAAAAACCCCACCTTGCTGCTGCCTGCTTTGCAGCCTGCTCTGCCTACTTGTGAAAAAAAAAAAAAAGTTGCTCTGCTGCCATGTGGCTCCTCTGTCCCGGGCATCTTTCTCAGAAAAAAAAAAAAAAGGGATGAGAGAAGGTGGAGAGGCCCTTGGTTGTGTCATGTTTCTGGAAAAAAAAAAAAAAAGCGTGGCAAGCCTTCTGCTGCATGCTGTTGGGCAGCCTGGTGCCCTGGATGGGGAGAGAGAGGCTCTGGCATCACCAGCTCTGGCATCTGCTCCAGAATCCATCACTTAAAAAAAAAAAAAATTGGGTTGATCCTTGAACCTCGATGAGCCTCAGGAGCCTCACTGGGAAAAAAAAAAAAAAATCTAGGGCTGCCATGGGGACAAAATGAGGTCCTGGTTGTTAAATTCCAAAAAAAAAAAAAAATATGGTAGGAGGATTTTTCTGCCCCTTTCCTCTATGGAGCTGAGCACCAGTGGACAAACAGGCATACCTCTTTCATTTGATTATTAGTCTTAATCCTTAAATTTATGAAAAAAAAAAAAAATCTTTAAATCTCACTGAATCTTCACAGTGTCCCCTTGAAGCAGACTCAAAAAAAAAAAAAAGGGTCCAAATCCTGCTTCTTCACTTAGCTGAGTGACCTTGGGCAAATAAAAAAAAAAAAAAGTGCCTCAGTTTCCTCATTTTTAAAATGATGACAAGAATATCTAGAGAAAAAAAAAAAAAATATGGGGCCTGACGGTTACGATTTGGAGGATCCTCTTTAAGAAAAGAATACACACCCGGGTACGGTGGCTCACGCTTGTAATCCCAGCACTTTGGGAAGTTGAGGTGGGAGGATCGCTTGAGGCTTCAGGAGTTCAAGATCAGCCTGGTCAACACAGTGAGACTTCAGCAAAAAAAAAAAAAATTAGCCAGTGTGGTGGGGCATATCTGTAGCCCTAACTACTTGAGAGGCTGAGGCAAGAAGATGGTTTGAGCCCAGGACTTCAAGGCTACAGTGAGTTATGACTGTATGAAAAAAAAAAAAAATTGCTCTAGACAGAGCAAGACTCTGTCTAAAAAACAAAAACAAAACAAAAAAAAAAAAAAACACACACAAAACCTCCCCCCAAACCCTGAATATTTATATTTATTTGGAAAAAAAAAAAAAATTTAAGCTGGGGTCCATGTCATTTTGGTCTGCTTCCATAATTCCTGGAACATTTGCTTTCTGGTATAACAAGATAACAACTTTTCCAGCCGCTGGAATCAACCAGTACAAAAAAAAAAAAAAATTCAATCTTTTAGTGGAAAATAATATTTAGGAAGCATGAAGTAGGCACTAGAATCATACTAAAAAACCAAGAACTGGTCAGACGCGGTGGCTCACACCTGTAATCCGAACACTTTGGGGGCTGTAGTGGGTGAACTGCTTGAACCCAGGAGTTCAAGACCAGCTTGGGAAAAAAAAAAAAAACCCATCTCTGTAAAAAATACAAAAATTAGCCAGGCAGGTAGTGCACAAAAAAAAAAAAAAATACTCGAGAGGCTAAAGTGGGAGGATCACTTGAATCCAGGAGGGCAAGGCTGCAGTGAGCTGTGATCATGCCACTCCACTCTAGCCTGGGCAACAGAGTGAGACCCTGACTAAAAATAGATAAATAAATAAAAATCGGGCCAGGCATGGTGGCTCATGCCTGTAATCCCAAAAAAAAAAAAAAATCAAGGCAGGCAGATCAACTGAGGTCAGGAGTTCGAGACCAGCCAGAAAAAAAAAAAAAAATTCTGTCTCTTCTAAAAATACAAAAATTAGTCAGGTGTGGTGGCATGCAATGGTAGTCCCAGCTACTAGAGAGGCTGAAGCGGGAGGATAGCTTGAACCCGGGAGGCAAAAAAAAAAAAAAGCCGAGATCGTGCCACTGCACTCCAGACTGGGCAACAGAATGAGATCAAAAAAAAAAAAAATAATAATAATAATAATAATAATAATAGTAATAATAATAATAGGGCTGAAAAAAAAAAAAAATACCTGTAATCCCAGCACTTTGGGAGGCCAAGGCGGATGGATCCCCTAAAAAAAAAAAAAAGACACCAGCCTGGCCAACATGGCAAAACTCCATCTGTACTAAAAATAAAAAAAAAAAAAAAGCATGGCAGCACATGCCTGTAGTCCCAGCTTTTCAGGAGGCTGAGGCAAAAAAAAAAAAAAAACCCAGGAGGCAGAGGTTTCACTGAGCCGAGATTGTGCCACTGCAGTCTAGCCTGGGTGAGACACAGTGAGACTCTGTCTAAAAATACTAATAATAAATAAAAATAAATAAATAAAATAAACCGTCTGGGCATGGTGGCTCAAGCCTGTAATCCCAGCACTTTGGGAAAAAAAAAAAAAAAAACCACTTGAGGCCAGGAATTTGAGATCAGCCTGGCCAACATGGCAAAAAAAAAAAAAAAAAAAATACAAAAATTAGCCAGGCGTGGTGGTGCATACTTGTAATCCCAGAAAAAAAAAAAAAAGAGTCAGGAGAATCGCTTGAACCCGGGAGGCGGAAGTCACAGTGAGCAAAAAAAAAAAAAATGCACTCCAGCCTAGGTGACAAGAGTGAGACTCTGTCTCAAAAAAAAAAAAAAAAAAAAAACAGAATCGTTCATTGTTATGAGGGTCACTAGTCCCAGTCCCTCCTAGAAAAAAAAAAAAAATACACACACACACACACGTTTACAATTATCTTTATTTCTATAATTACAAAAAAAAAAAAAAAATTCAGACTATCATCTCCAATTCCAAGCTCATATCACATGGTTCATAAAAAAAAAAAAAACTTGTGCATTTATACCTCCCGTCTTTCACACTGAGCAATCTGGTGTCAAAAAAAAAAAAAATCTTTTTTTTTTTTTTTTTTTTGAGACGACTTTCTGTGCATTGGGGTAAAAAAAAAAAAAAT